CTGTAAACCTTGAGCTGTTTTCCATAGTTCCTAAAAATCAGTTTAACCAATTTTTAGTTGTTTCTTTAATGTTTCCGTGAGGGACAAAGTTCTGAAGTTTTCTAGTCTGCCATTTTTCTGACATCACTGAGATTAATTTCATGCTCCAGCATATTTTTTTTTTTTTGGTAAATATTCTGTGTGCATTGAAAAAGAATGTGTATCTGACAGTTGGTATTTGGAATTTTCTATACACATCGACTAAGTTAAGTGTTGCTCAAACCTTTTACATTCTTACCGAATTTTTGTCTACTTGCTATATCAATTATTGATGTAGGGGTATGAAAATATCTGACTTGGTCAGGTGCGGTGACTTACACCTGTAATCCCAGCACTTTGAGAGGCCGAGGTAGGTGGATCACCTGAGGTCAGGAGTTTGAGACCAGCCTGGCCAGCAGGGTGAAACCCCATCTCTACCAAAAATACAAAAAATAGCCAGGTGTGGTGGCAGGTGCCTGTAAATAGAAGAAAGAGTAAACTATTTGACTTCAAAGCTCTGGTTTAATTTCTAGCAAGTACAATTACTTCAGTTCATAATTTTAGAAATAAAAGCTTTAGGTTTCTAATCTAAGCCATTACTTTATAAATCATTCATTCAAGAATGTGAATACACAAAACATAAATAAACTTTCACAAATGATTTGATTTGATAAGTGTCAGTGTTCTGGGATGTGCTGGTCATTCTGTGGAGGTCCTCAGAACCACGCTCTACCCTTCCAGCCCCAGTGTCACCCTTCCTGCCCGAGTGTCACCCTACTTCCCTCCAGGCTGACTTCCAGTTGGTTTTGGCTAATGAAAGACACCCACAGAAACAGGAGAGTTTCAGAAGTCAGGGCTCAGAAACTTTCTTCCCTATTCACTCCTGTTTTCCAGGCTCTGACAACAGCTTTTTTCACTTTTTTTTTTTTTTTCCGAGACAGAGTCTCGCTCTGTCACCTGGCTGGCATGCAATGGTGCTATCTCAGCTCACTGCAACATCTGCCTCCCTGGTTCAAGTGATTCTCCTGCCTCAGCCTCCCAAGTAGCTGGGACTACAGGCATGCACCACCACGCCCAGCTAAATTTTGCATTTTTAGTAGAGACGGGGTTTCACCATGTTGACAGGGATGGTCTCAATCTCTTGACTTCGTGATCTGCCCACCTCAGCCTCCCAAAGTGCTTGGATTACAGGCGTGAGCCACCATACCTGGCCAGCTTTTTTTACTTCTATGACTACAGCTCCTGCCAGAACTTTCTGTTCCCTGGCTGCTGCTTTCTGGGGATCTGGTAACAACCTTTTCTCCCTCTGCCCCTCTGCTGTAGGTGGTAAAGGCTTTCTGCTATTGCTTGTCTTTGGGTGCCACAACGTCACTTGGTGGGTCCCTTCACTTTTCTTTACAGTCTGTTCCCTTAAACCATCTGAGTAAGTCACGCTTTCTTTCTGGGTCTTGACTGATACACTAGTGTATTTTAAAAATCTGATTATCACATTTCATTGCTTAGAAAAATATCATAAGAAAAATAATTCTTTGAGAAGTAGCATATTTGTGAAAGTAGATCGATTTAGGAATTAAAGTGCTATTAGATTGGCAGGCAAATGTGGTTACATTTTTGTATTCTCACTCTATTTTCTAGAACTGAAAACTAAGTTCTAGCTTAGATTGGAATGTACATGGTATACTACAAAGAGAGAAGATAAAATTGCAGGGTGAGAGTGTAAAGTACGAGGTAAAACCATATTGAAACAAAATAAGAACAACTCTGTGTACAAGGTTGTATATGTTTATATATATGAGCCAAGGCCAGGTGTGGTGGCTCACGCCTGTAATCCCAGCACTTTGGGAGGCCAAGGCGGGTGGATCACTTGAGCTCAGGAAGTTCGAGACCAGCCTGGGCAACATGGAAAATCCCTGTCTCTACCAAAAATACAAAAACTTAGCTGGATGTGGTGGCACTCACCTGTTGTCCCAGCTGCTCAGGAGGCTGAGGCACAAGAATTGCTTGAACCTGGGAGGCAGAGGTTGCAGTGAGCCAAGATCATGCCGTGATCTAGGTGACAGGGCAAGACTCTATCTCAGAAAAAAAAAAAAAAAGAGAGAAAGAAAAAGAAAGAAAGAAAGATAAAGAAGAGCCAAAACAAGGATACATAAGGACACATACCAGTCTGTTAGCCTATTATGTATCATTGGTTACCTTAGCGGGGTTGGGGTGATGATAGAGGCAATTATTAACATTTTCCTTATACAATTCTTGTAAAAACGTTTATTTCGTAATTCAAAATATTCAAGAACAAATTTCAAAAGAGTCTGTCTTAACAAACATTTACATTCTTATAATTCAGAAGCTAGTCATCAAACACACCTCAGTATCATTTGTTCCAATATAAATATCCTCACTTCCTAAATATGTGCTTAATACAAAGTAGATCTTATTCTCTTCTTATTCTGGTTGAATTATGCAACCATTATCCAAATGGAAATAAAAAATATAATAATTGTATTTATTATCCATGTTAAGGTTAAATAGAAGGTAAGTAAGAAGTTTCAAAGTTTCAATTGCATTATCATACAAAGCAGGAAAGAAAGGAAATAAAGCTGCAACATACAAAACATTTATATCTGTGATATTTAATATTTTTTCTGGGACATCCAGTGTTCTAGTTACATCAACCACCTCGAATTTATGCCTTCATTTGTCCAGTAAATGTGTAGTGTGTGATGATTGTAACGAATGCTTCTCTAGTAGGCAAAGTAATTTCTAGAACCTCACCACTCTTAGTCTGCAAAGCTCACTGCCAGCATTATCACCACAGCAAGTGTCTATGCTGATTTAAATAAAAATTTAACCATGTAGCAGCAATTATAGCCACATAAAATGCATTTCAAGACTCACATTTCTGTCTAAGGACTTCAAGTCCCCTAATCAAAAAACTTAAGTAGAATAAACCTAAATAACTTATTTTATTTTATTTTATTTTATTTTATTTTTTGAGACGGAGTTTCACTCTTGTTACCCAGGCTGGAGTGCAATGGCGCGATCTCGGCTCACCGCAACCTCCTCCTCCTGGGTTCAGGCAGTTCTCCTGCCTCAGCCTCCTGAGTAGCTGGGATTACAGGCACGCACCACCATGCCCAGCTAATGTTTTGTATTTTTAGTAGAGACGGGGTTTCACCATGTTGACCAGGATGGTCTCGATCTCTTGACCTCGTGATCCACCCGCCTCAGCCTCCCAAAGTGCTGGGATTACAGGCTTGAGCCACCGCGCCCGGCCAAACCTAAATAACTTTTAAGTCAAAAGCAGGGGAATCAAAACAACAATTACAAACTTCCTGTATTAAAAGAAAATGCTGATGCTTATTGGTTTAACCATATAAAATAGTGTGTACATTTAGTAGATACGGCCAATTTAGAACAAATTTTGATTGTAACTGTAAGTGTGTAAAATGTGTGTTTTTTGTATTGGGAATCATATTCATAAATATAAATATATTCCTTCAGTGTTGTAGAACCGTGCATTCACCCTCACTACACTAGTGATTTTACAGTTTAATGAAGCCATTTTAAAAAAATTGCTAATGTCTACTGCCGTAGAAGTTTTTGGCTTTTCTCCATTAAGCTATCACTTTGAACATCCAAGTACACATTTATTTTATTTTATTTTTTGAGACGGAGTCTTGCTCTGTCACCAGGCTGCTGTGTAGTGGTGCAATCTCGGCTCACTGCAACCTCCGCCTCCCGGGTTCAAGGAATTCCCCTGCCTCAGCCTCTGGAGTAGCTGGGATTGCAGGTGTGCACCACCACGCCTGGCTATTTTTTCGTGTTTCAGTAGAGACGGGGTTTCACCATGTTGGCCAGGATGGTCTTGATCTCCTGACTTCTTGATCCGCCTGCCTCAACCTCCCAAAGTGCTGGAATTATAGGTGTGAGCCACCGTGCTCTGCCAAGTTTACATTTTTAAAGAGTCCTTCTGATGCTTGACAAATTGGTACAAAATAATAGACTGACTCTAGGTCCAATTTAGCAAATGATTTCCATTTTCTCTCTTTCTGTCTCACTCAAGGCAACAGATTTGTCAATCAAAACTTTAGATTTATCTTTTTTTTTTTCTGTAATGAAAGAGGAACTATTATAGAGTTCTTGTGCAAAAGTAGTTTAAGTGAACCCAATTAATAATTCAAGAATGACTTTGTAAGATTATTCTATTAGTATTACATTTGAATTCATTTTAATGAAGAAAAAGCCTTTCAAATCTATCTTTACAAAGAGAAGATTAATAAGCTATTTCTTCGAGATATTATCCAAAAAACTTAGTAACTTTTTTTTTTAACCTGACGGTGGTGGTAATATGAGTGAGTTTGTCAATCTTTGCCTGTGCTGTGAATTTGAGAAGCAGTGCAGAAGAGCAAGAGAAAGACCTCTCCCCTCCCCAGCAAGCACACAGCAGACTCCCAAGAAGTGTAGTGTTAAGCTATTGCTGGACTGAGCTCCTCATCCTACACTTGCAGGGATTGCTTCTTTGGACAGAAACCGAAATAAAATCTAAATTTTAGACTTCCACCAAGGCCAGGACTAGGGTGAAGGGACTAACGCACGAGTCTCTGGCGCAACTGTTAAGTAACGCTAATGTTGAATGAATGAAATAGTTTAAAAATTGAATGTAATACAACAAAATCATAATAGACAAAATATCAAAACTTTAAATAAAGGCTTGCAGTCGCACAACCCCGGCTCACTGGCCTCGCCGTGCTCCTGGCCCGGCTTCCCAGCTTGGTTCTCTACAAGTCAGAATTCCTGGCAAAGTCCAAGTGCGCGCGCGTCTGCCCGAGTACACGCTGCAGTTATTTCTGCTCCCTCTTCCCTGTTTGAACTGAAACAGGACCGGGTTTTCCCGGGTGCCGTCCCTGCGTTCGGTGAACAGCGGAGTGATAAAGCCTGGCGTTCCCCACCTGCAGGCGGAGGCTGACTGCGCGGTCCTTGGCGCGAGTTCGCGCCCCGCGGCCGCCCCGCCCCGCTCCGGTGGGCGGGAGGACCCGAGGGAGCTGCGGGTGTAGCCCGAGGAGAGCGTCAGGGGGAGCTGGGTGCCCGTCCCGCTCGCCTCCCGATTCGCGTGGCCGCCGGCCGCCTCCCGCGCCTAGGGTCTGGGACGCGCCCGAACCCGCCGCCTCCGAGCCTGGGGCGGCGCCGCGCGGCCACGAGCGCCCTGGGAAGCTGCGGCGCGAGTCTGCGGGGCGGACCTGGGGCCGGGCGCGGCTCGGCGGGAGCGTCTGCAGAGCGGGGAGGAGAGGTTGGGGCTTCTCCCTGACACGCGGGGGCTGCCGGTGCGTGAGGAAGAGAGCGGAGAGACCGGAGAGGGGACACAGCAGCGTCGGAGCCGCGCAGGGGACCCGGAGTGAGGGCAGGAGCGACGCTGAGCGGCCGTCGCCGTCCCCGGGTCTCGGGGCGCCTGGCCGAAGCGAGCATGGCTTCGGTGGCCTGGGCCGTCCTCAGGGTGCTGCTCCTTCTCCCCACTCAGACTTGGAGCCCCGTAGGAGCAGGAAATCCACGTAAGTACAGCAGATGGTCTAAAACTTGCACTAGCCTGTCTGGAAAACTTTGTATTTTTATTATTGGTAATATTTGGAAATGGAATTGCAGAACATGCTCCTGAAAAGAAAGAACCTTAAAAAAAAACCTCTTGAATTGCAACCCGAAAAAGACAATTTCGTTTACAACAGACTCCTCTTGTGGGGGAGTCTAAGATGTATCATGCATATTTTGACTTTTTAATCTCTGTATCTGAATATTCATTGAGAAACTGGACGTTTCTGTAAAACCAGAAAAGAACATCTTAATAAGAGACTAGCCTGCAAATGCTGTCATTTATTCCTTTTCAGGATCATAACATTTTATAGGAATTAAGTCTAACAGGGAAAAAACTGGCAGGCATTACATCACATTGCATCAACTTAGATGTTAGCCGTTTTGCCAACCTTGGCAGCTTCAGAGTTAAGATGCTAATTAACTCCCATGCACTACAGGGACAGGGCACCCGTAGGCAAAACTAAATTTAAGAGCCCCAGATTAATAACCTGCCCTAACTACTAAGGGAATAACATTTGAACACCCTTGTCAGGGGGCTTCGTTTCTCATAGTAGAAAGTTCTTGCTTAAAGACAAAACTCAGCCAGTCATTTAGGTGATCTTGTAAATTATTCCTCTCTGGATGCTAATATTTTGCATCATTTAATTTGTCATTGGGTTCCCTGTTTTTTTTTTTTTTCTTTAATTTGGTAAATACCTAGGAAGCCATTATTTCTAGAAAAGGCTATGATTCAAATCTAATGATGATATTCCAGACAGTTGGGCAAAATGTAATATACCCATGTTTTATCACACATAAGAATGTTTACACAACATTACACATTTTTTTTTTTTTTTGTCTTGGAGTAAATCTCTATCAGGGAGTTGTCTTTCTTTCTTGATTAATCGAACCGTGAGATTAGAATGTTTTAAAATGTCCTCCTCCTTGTTCTGAAATAACTTTTATTTTTTTCAGTAGCATCTCCCCTCTCTCAGCTTTGGCCCCCTCCTGCCAAAATCTCTTTTGAAATAAGTTCCAATGAATGCTAGTGGCCATGTTTGAAAATTTAGATTATGACAGGATAACGAAGGGTAGCTTTCAGCAGTTCACCTAAGCTGTCATGAAAAGTTTGCCATAGCTCAGTGCTGTTCTACCCGCAGGCTCCAGCTTGGGTTCTTCACACACGAGGCACACACATGGGTTCGTGCACTCACTGCACATCATCATTCAGTTGTGCCTCAGTTAATCCTACACTTGGTGTGCCACGCCCAGAAACAAGCTCTGGTCTCCTCGGTCAGATGTTGTACTATGTTTCCGATTCAACTTTCATCTGCTTTTGTGAGAAGGCTTTGTTAATAAAATGTGGTTACTTACATCAAATCAAAATCCTTGGGTATTGTAATGGAGACTGCTATTTGGCCTAAGTAAATACATAAATGAATTACTTACAGAAAAGCATGCTAGAGTAGTCATTCACCAGTCAACCGGCAAAATACAACAACTAAATAAGTCACTAGAGGTCACTCTTACAATTTAATAAACAGGGCTTCACAAAGACTTTCCTGGAGAAAAGCAAAGCAATGAAATCTGAGTGAGACCCGGGCACCACCTTTCCCGTATTTTTGTTGCAGTTGTCATTACTTTTTATTCTCAGGATTAGTTGTATTGATAGTTATTTAGCTTGGAATCCGGTGGAAGGATTCAAAGCCCATAGACATTAAGCTCTTCTCGTGGACAGTGAACATTCTTCTTGGAAGAAGGGAGGGCATATTCCAAATGACTTACCACCAGACGGGGCTCTTGCCAGTCACTGGTGACTCTTAGGTTTTCAATACTACTTTGGTGGGGTTTTCCAGTCCTCTTTCGTTGATGAAACTTAGTATTCTCATATCTAATAAATTTTACTAATTTTAAATTACCTTTTAGATCAAGTAATTCTTCCAGATAAAACTATGTAACTATAATTCTGAAACCACCTCAAATACCAAGAAGAAAGTCAATGAGGACATCTGGAAGTTTCCTTCTCATGTAGACACCATGACTTGCTCACCTGACTCACAGCTGGTTTTCCAGAAGCACACTGGCCACCTACCAAGGCAGCCTGTTGATGGCATGAAATGGCTGTTCATGAGAAGAGCTCTCTTGGCCGGGCACGGTGGCTCACGCCTGTATTCCCAGCAATTTGGGAGGCCAAGGTGGGCGGATCACCTGAAGTCAGGAGTTTGAGACCAGCCTGGCCAACATGGCCAACATGGTGAAACCCTGTCTCTACTAAAAATACAAAAAATTTAGCCGGGGGTGCTGGTAGGCACCTATAATCCCAGATACTTGGGAGGCTGAGGCAGGAGAATTGCTTGAACCTGGGAGGCGGAGGTTGCGGTGAGCTGAGACTGGCCCATAGCACTCCAGCCTGGGCAACAAGCCCGAAACTCCATCTCAAAACAAAAAACCAAACAGCAAAAACCTCTTAAACATTTGTCATTGTAGGATTATGTGCAGTTTATCTGAATGTTAGTTGATCTGACAAATACCTGGGAAAACTTTATGTTAGGAGGATTCTGTGTGAGGGGAGATATTTTCCTAACTTCGGTGCTCATAGATTTGCTTTTTGTTTGTTTAGACTACTTGGAATCTATCCAGAAAGGACAGCATTCTATGCATTTTAAGATGGTTAATGTAAAAGCAATAAATGTGTTACCTATTTTTTTCCTCTGAACTTTTCAGTGGAAGCGGGTATAAAATTTTGAGGACAGAACCTCAGAGTCTAGCACTTTCCTTATGTTGTTTTATCTGTTTATCTTTCACTTATTACCAAAGGACAGGAACAAAGACTTGAACACCTCTTTTCATGTTAAAATCATCCTGTGACCCTGCCATTTCTTTCTGGACATGAGACATTGTGGAGTGGGAGAAGGGGTCTGGGGAGAATCTGACTTCCATTGTAGCTTAGATTAATTAATACTTGTGCCTCATAATAAGAGTTGGATTTGTCATAATTTATCTGAATTCTTTTGTACTCTTATCAGTTTGTCTCTCTGCCTGAGAGTGAGAGAAAGGTCACTTATTGCTCTCATCCAGTCCCTGAAAGCAATAGGAAGAATCAAGAGAATGATTGAACTCTGGGCACTGATTCCAGGGATACGTAAACAAATGGCTGGACAGATTTTGCAGAAATCCTGTAATTGGTAAAATGCTGAGTAATAGCCTTTGATGTAACTTTCAGTGGGTTAATTTATTCATTACACAGCCTAAAACACTTTTAATTTTAATTGCCTCATTTTTTCCCTTTAAATGGTTGTTTTCTTCAAGTTTGCCAGCCATCCTGGGGAAAGAAGGGTAAGCCTACTATGGAGTGTGTGTGGGTTAGCTAGGAAACTCGTTTATGATGTGACATGTGTCAGGAAAGATATCTCACAGAGTGTAGGAATAATTATTTTTGCAGATGTTTCATTTTGGACTTTTTAGTAATACCATTTAAAGAGAGATTCTGCAGTTGAGTAACAAATTCTTAGTTTTGGTGTCAAATGGTACTCTAAATGGAGTTCAGGCTGGGTGCGGTGGCTCACGCCTGTAATCCCAGCACTTTGGGAGGCCAAGACAGGGGGATCACTTGAGGTCAGGGGTTTGAAACCAGCCTGGCCAACATGGTAAAACCCCATCTATACTAAAAATACAAAAAAAAATTAGCCGAGTATGGCGGCAGGTGCCTGTAATCCCAGCTACGTAGGAAGTTGAGGCATGAGAATTGCTTGAACCCAAGAGGCGGAGGTTGCAGTGAGCTGAGCTTGTGCCACTGCACTCCAGCCTGGGCAACAGAGTGAGACTCTATCTCAAAAAAAAAAAAAGAAAGAATTTCAGATGCCTTTATTCATTTTCTCCAGACTCTATACAAACAGTATGAAGCATAAGCAGCCCATGGAAATGATAATCAATTCCAAGACATTGATTGGATCATGAAAAAAAAATCAAATTACTTGCTATTCTTCTTCTTCTTCCGCTCCCCTTCTCTTTTTGAACAATTCAGTCAGAAGTCATTCAGTGGAGCTTAGGCATCTGCGCTGGGTACTGGGGAGGCCCAGGGCCATGGCAGAGCACTCAGAAACCAGCATGGTAAGGAAAGCATCCACCTGTAGCAAGGGTGGGGACCTGGAGAGACGGGAGACAGCATTGGTGGTAATCTGGCAAGTTGTCAGAGGTTGAGAGGGGTAAGGAATGAGGCATTGCAGATTGACAGAGACAAGAAAACAAGGCAACTAAATACTGTTCTGAATTAAATGCTTACGTTGTAAAGGACATGATTGGGAATTGGTGAAACTTGATCAAGATTTGAGGATTAAATGCTGGAAGTTTATCTTTGCTGACTGTGATGATCATATTATGGTTATGTAGGAGAACTCTTTTTGTAGGAAATGCACATTGAAGTACTCAGGGATAATTGAAATGAAACAGAACAGGATATTATTATCATAGTTCTTCCATGTTTTCTGTAAATTTGCGATTTTTTTCAAAATCAAATTATTACCATAAAAAACCATTTGGGCCCGGAGCAGTGGCTCGTGCCTGTAATCCCAACACTTTGGGAGACCAAGGCAGGTGGATCACGAGGTCAAGAGATGGAGACCATCCTGGTGAAACCCCATCTCTATTAAAAATACAAAAATTAGCTGGGCATGGTGGCATGCACCTGTAGTCCCCCACTTGGGAGGCTGAGGCAGGAGAATCGCTTGAACCTGGGAGGGAGAGGTTGCAATGAGCTGAGATCATGTCACTGCACTCCAGCCTGGGCAACAGAGTGAGACTCCGTCTCAAAACATAAAAAATAAAATAAAAAACCATTAAACATTGTGTTTAAGGAAAACATGGACCAATAATAACACTTAAGTAAATATAGTTAAATCAATGCGTTTTACCTAAGAGATGTAGATGAAAAATAAAGAGCTTGAAAAATATCAAACAATTATTGAGAAATAACAGTTCATTTATT